ATACTGCGGCAACACAAGACGAACAACGAGAAATATGCACAATGTTCGAGGAATTACGTAGAATGTTCCACAAAGAGAAACGTCAAGTTTGATGAACACTGCGAACAGCGAGAGAAAGAGAATGAGCGATAAACTTCAGAACGTTCTAGAGTTGCCATAAGTGCGAGCGCAGGTATATAAGGGTGCCGCGATAGCGAAGTTGGTTAGTTACAAGCATGATAAAACCATAGCAAGGTAGAACCGTTCTCTCAATTTGTCGGCCATGATTTTTTTTTGAAGTTTGCCAGCATTTTCAAATCATATAAAATTTAAAATAAAAAATTGAAATTGTTCGAAATTGTTGTTCCTTGAGATTGAAAATGAAAATGTGTGTGTGAGTTTGTGAGTAAATTTAAAAAATTAAAATATTTGGAAACGTCAAGAATTTTAAAAGTAACTCTCAGCGGTTCTACCTTACTATATTTTTATCATGGTTACAAGTCAGCAAGCTACAAGTAAAGTGAGCAGAGAAGTGAGTTGCGAATAAGCAAGCTATAAGGTTTAATGTGTTAGTAGTAAAGCATCGTTATCGCTTTAACAATTATTGTATAGTGTTTTAATGTATTAGCGAGTATTGTAAATTGTTTATTGTACAATAAATTTACTTGTACTACAACTTGGTCATCGTTGGCATTTATTTAACAATCCAGCGATACGAACCGAAGAATTTCGGAAATCCGGACGAAGTTTCAAGGATAATCGTAACAGCATAAATAGCTTTCAGTAACCACCATGTCAGGGGCCAAAAAAAATACTTTTTCCGTTAGGTGGACAGGGACCAATTCGAACAAATCTTATTTATGGTCCAATTTGCTTGACATTTGGTACATAGGTTCTGGCTTTTGCCTTGATTAACATATATGGTACTCTTTTGACGTAGGTGTACCAGGGACCGATCTATTCGAAAAAAAATCATCTCTATGGTCCGATTTGCTTGAAATTTGGAACGTAGACAGCTTTTTGGCTAGATTAGCATATAAGATCCTTTTTTCGGTAAGTGGGCAAAGGACCCATTTATTCGATAAAATCTTCTTTATGGTTCGATATGCTTGCATTTGGCGCGTAAGTAGCTTATTGCCTGAATTAACATATAGGATACTATTTTCTGATAGGTAAACCAGGGACCGATCCATTCGGAAAAAAATTATTTATGTGCCGATTTGCTTGAAATTCGGTACACGTATTTTCGATATACATACCAGTGTTGCCAGAACTTTTTGGGCCGACCGGCTAGATTGGCAAAAAAAAGCGGCTAAAAACGGCTAAAATGTTTTAGTGAAAATTCACATGCTTTATTTAAATAAATCGCAAGAAACGAAAGACTAGTTAACACCATTAATTTATATCGAGTGTATATTCCTCATCATCAAATGAATCACTATTGTATATATCACCTGAATTCATTAATTTTAAGAGATCGTCATCTACAGTAAAATTATGGCAGCATTTTTCTTCACGTTTTAAACCGTATCTTATATATAAAATAGCGTTTAACGTTTTAACGCACATTGGATTTCTTTGCTTAGTTTTTATTATATTCATTGAACTAAATATTCGCTCTACTTCTGCATTACTTATAGGCAAAACAAGAAAACTAAAAACTAGGTTGCAAAGGTCAGCAAAAGGGTTTTCTCCTAGGGCATTTCGAAATTGATAAACTTCGGCCCAAAATTTTACAGTTAACAGTTACAGTTAAATTTTAACGTTAACCGTTGCATTGCATCTCTATGGATGTTATTTCGTCGGCATTATATTTGNCGGCTAACAAATCGGCTGCCGGCTAGATCGAATTTTCTCCGGCTAGATGCTATCAAAACCGGCTAAATCTAGCCGGAAAACGGCTAAAATGGCAACGCTGATACATACATACATAGAATAGAATGATTGTTTTACAGATCAAGAGGCGATTTAAGGCGCCGCGAGGCAAGCGGCTATTGGCTATTTATCTATACCAATATATAAAGAGAATTCCCTTCTCTTTAGACACCTTTTGGCTATAGGCTGATAATAATTTCGACAAATTAAGGGAGCGTGTCATCTCCCATACAAATCGAATTTTTCATACCGATTTCATATCTCTGGTAGAGTCCTGCAACTTGATATTGAGATTTTGAAATCAATCCCATATTCATGGAGAAAAGTGGGGGCTATTGGAAAAGTAGGCGTGGCTTCTTGAAACCTTCTGAGACCTTTATCTGCATATATTTAAATACGGTACATGTTTTTGAGAGCGAACTTTTTCTAAACGACCGAAATGATTTTAATGAGATTTTTTTTTGTGTTTTAGTGGGTCCCTGTATAGTTAGGTTCACAACTTAAAACGCTAAATAGCGCTGGAGTCTAGTTATTACTAAATAATCGTATTTATTATCTGATCTGGCTAATATTCAATATATGTATTGGTAACGCAAAGGGAAATATTTCTGCGAAAAAATTGCTCGCAAGGTGGCTGTGGAGTCAAATTATTACTAAAAATCTTATTTATGGTCCGATTTGCCTCATAATCGAGATAAATATTTGTAACGGTAATACTATTGCAAAAAAAGTCGCAAGGTGGCGCTGGAGTCGAGTTATTTCAAAAAATCTTCAAGTGAAGTCATACGGAGGCACCAGGGATCAAAACCAAATTACCGTCTTTAAATCTACCACCATAGTCATTGCGGTCCCTGCTTTACGACGACAGAATAAAGACAATTCTTGATGAATATAATTGTAAGACATTTATGGTAAGTCTATGTACATTGAATATATTGAAAATAAATCTTGGGTGGGACGAAGTTCGCGGGTCTGCTAGTTTCAAATACAAATGTAATTAATCTTAATGTATTTCAACCAATGTCACTTTGAACCTTTGGCAATTTAAATATTAATTATTAAAATATTGCTTGCATTGGACAATCTTTATTTTATTCGGTTCTTTGAATTGGGTGGGATACGACATAGTTCATCAACTCATCCCTTAGTTTGAAAGCGTTGCTTGAGCATGTCCTTCTGGCCTTTTGTAAAGCGGTGGATATTTCGTTGCGCCACAGCCGCTTTGTTACCACGTTCCCATCATCCTGGTTAACGTATTCAGGTGTGCAATAACTTCCATCATTCATCTTTAAGAAATTGTGCAGAAGTACGGTCGCTTTCACAATTTGTTCTGTGGATGTTGGGCTCATTTGCAAGGTAGATAAAAAGATCCTCCATCTACTTGCTAAAATGCCAAAAGCATTTTCAATCACTCGGCGTGCTCGCGACAAACGCTTGTTGAAGATTTCCCTCTCCAAAGGCAAATTATTTCCTAAACGCATATACATATAAGAATTATTAGTAATAGTATGGACCATTTTCACAGTCACTAGTTAACTAAGTTAAGCTAATGTTAAACCACCATTTTTCATTTCACAGTATCAGTTTGACTAATAGTTGACTGCAGTTAACTAATGTACATCCATTAGTTCACCAATAGTTAAAATTATAGTAGTTAACTAATGACTGGGAATATGGCCCTATGAAACTAAAGTGAAGTGATTTGATTGTACGAAATGGATACGGTTTCATTAAAAAAAATTAATGGGAACGCAGAATCTCCAACAAAATAGTGTGGGAAACTATTGCTAGCGCCGGGCAATATTTCCTTTTTCGGCAAATCCAATTGTGCCGAATATAAACGCTGCCCACAACTCGAGTTCCACATAACTCCGCCGTCACTTTGCGAACCGTATGCACCAATATCTACCGCAGCGAAGGTATAATTTGCATCACAGGCGGCCAGAAGGACTATTGAATAGTTACACTTATAATTAAAAAAGAGAAACGGTGTTGTTCGGACAAAATATATTTATATGTTTGCCGTCAATAGCGCCAACACAACACTGAATAAAAATCGTGTCAATACGTATCCATTCTTCTTCTGTGGAACCGATAAATAAATTGGACCATAAGACATCACACGTCTCTCCAATGATTGCTTTCATTGTGGAGAGCCCTATTTTAAAGGCAGAAGAAAGAAACTGCTTACTTCCCCCATGCGCTAAATATCTATATACATACTAGGGATGTTGCGAATGTGTAATTGTAGACATCCGCGGATGCGAATGCGGATGCGGATGTCTAACAGGTAACATCCGCGGATGCGAATGCGAATGCGTATGTCAAGTATTTTTAAGAAACAATTAGGTAAGTAAATCAAGTTACTTAGCTAAATGAAAAAATGGAAAAGTTAGTAATTTTTTATAATGTTTATTTTATATATATTTTTATTTTATTTAGTACTTGAGTTTAAAAATTGGGACATTATATGTAATAAAAAGTAATGAGAACTGTATCGGGGCCGAAAATTTCGGAAGTATACTCCTGACTTTCATCTTGACTTGAAGAATCTAGCATAATGGCGAGATCGTTGTTTAAACAGCGCTTACAAGCCAAACCATATGTCTCAGGTTTTTCTAAAGTTTTTTAAAAGGAATTCTTCATTCTCATTTCTTTGGTTGTTTCAAAATTTGGGAAACCTGTAACGCAGCGGGCTCGGTTATATAGCTTAAGAAATAAATGTCTAAAGACATATTTATCAAAGTTGACCAGTTTTGTTATAGAAATACAACCACGACCAAAGGCAAAAAATATTGGCTACAAATTGTCATTTTGTTTTCCAGATATACGTTTTATCGGTGCACTTGCACAAGATTCGCATTCGCAAAGGCTCCGCATTGATTACTGCGAATGCGAAAGCGATAGCGAATATTAAAATTAATGCGGAAGCTCCGCGGTGGCGAATGCGAATGCGAATATTCGCAACAACCCTGATACATACATACATAATTTTTCAAAAACTGAGGTTAGTTTTCCATTCGAGTTTGTGTACATATCTGTGGCATTTTATGGCTAGTAAAACGTTGTTTGGGAACTCAGTGAAATATTGCATTAAAGGGATAATGGCTTATCTCAAGATAAGTTGTTTGAATAAAATGCCAGACATATATATATATATATATATATATATATATATATACAGAGAAACCTCCCTTGGGCGGACACTCACCGTCAGTCATTTTTTGTCCGCCCAAGAGAGGTGTCCGCTTAATGGAAGGGAAGCCTATTTTAGAACTTTTTAATGTTTTAATTAATTGAATAGTCACTATTTCTAATTTGAATAAAAGATATTGATATTACATCGTTCAAACAAAAATGTGCATGTATTTTTTCAAAAGTGCACATTTCATTTATGTGCGTAAGTACATATTAAGTAATAACAAAATAAAAATAAATATTACATTTTAGTCGATAAACTACATAAAATCATAGCTTCATTACATAAAAAACTGGGAAATTGTCGATTGACGTAAGTTTTATTTTTAATATTTTTCAGTGCCAGTACCTTTTTCATCAATAGTTTTCATGTTTTTATCAGTCTCCAAGGGTTTCTGACAATTCAAATAACGAACCTAAACCACTGCGCAAACCAAACTAAATGTGTGCATAACAATCACATTTTGTGCGGGAAGTCCCCTTTTTCCATTTAGTAGTCCGCCTATGAGGAGTTCGCGTCCGCTCAACGGAGGTTTTTGTTTGATTTGTTATGAAAAGAAATCTTAATGTCCGTTGATAAGAGGTTCGCGTCCGCCCAATAGAGTTTTTGTGTCAATTTTATGCAAAATAACTGTCCGCGTCCGGCCAAGAGAGTGTCCGCTTAAGAGAGAGTAATTTGTTCCGAAATTTATACTTAAAACTTGGTATAGGAAAAAATGTCCGCCCAAGGGAGGTGTCCGTCTAATAGAGGTGTCCGTTAGGAGAGGTTTCACTGTATATATATATATGTGGTGTAGTGGTAAGCAGTGCGCGCTTCCACTCCGCAGCACCTGGGTTCAAACCCTGGTCAAAGCAATATCGCAAAAATATAGAAATAAGGTTTTTTCTTAACAGCGGTCGTCCCTCGGCAAGCAATGGCAAACCTCCGAGTGTCTTTCTGCCCTGAAAAACAGCTTCTCATAAAAAATACAATCGCCGTTCGGAGTCGGCGTAATACTGTAGGTCCCTCCGCTTTGTGTGACAACATCAAGGCGCACGCCACAAATCGGAGGAGAAGCTCGGCCAAACACTAACATATGTGTAAGCGCCAATCTATTATATTATTATCTACATACATTTGGGGCGGTGAACGCCTGAAAAATATATTAAGGGGGTTCGCAAAGTACCATAAAAGTCATATTATTAATTTTCGCAGTGTTAAAAAATATGTGGCTGTGGTTTCAAGTTCTCTAAACATTTATTTAAGCTTTTAAAGTTTACGACATACAACAACACGACACTTACGACACCATTGTGAATCCCTCAATTATATATCGTTGGCTTAGTTCGCAAACGTGCTAAGTCCACTTTTTATGAAAATTGAGATTTTGATGCAGTAAGATAGCATAACTCAAAATACATCACTACCAAAAAAGAAAGTTACCGTAATGTCGTTCTTACTTGTTGTTATGCATTGGTACGCAAATGTGCTAAGTCCAAAAAAATCAAGATAATCAAATATAATCACGTCTGTCCGTGTACACGATAACTCGAGATATCTCAACGAAATTTGGTATGTAGGTTGCCCTTTATCCAAGGTAAGTTGGTATTAAAAATGGGCGAATCGGACTGTAGCCACGCCCATTTCCGATACAAAGGTATTTTCTAAAGATGCAAAAACTACGATATTTCAGTAAATATTGGAAGCAAATTGTTCAAATTTAGTATGTGAAGTAGAAGTTTTGTAAAAAATATTATTGTGCAATTTTTGGAAAATGGGCGTGACCCCGCCCACCTATTATGAAATATATCTCAGTAGCCCATTCACCGATCTCCACCAAACTCGGTACGAGCCTTATTTAAGGTCTAACTAAGAAATCTGTTCAAAATCTTTAAAATCGGGCAATGACTATGCGTATCTACTAAAGCTAATTCACTTAAAATCGATGAACTCGATAACGACTCAGCAGAAAATTAGATTATGATACATTTTTGTATAATGGGCATGGCGCCGCCCACTTATGACCGCAAAAGTGTAACTCGGTAACCGATTTATAAATTTCTTCCAAACTCGGTGCACTTAATAAACCTGGTACGGGAAAGCAATTCGTTGAAAATTATTCAAATCGGACCAAAATTACATTCGCTTTCCGTATATCTAACGGTAAATTTCAGAAATGCGAAAACTCTGATATATTAATAACTGACGACGCCAATTTACTCCAAGTTAAAACCTACAACAATCTCTTAACAATAATTAAGACTGCATGACACCGCCCACTTTATGACTACAAGGTGTATCTCGGTAGCCAATTTAGCGATTTCTACTAAACGTGGTTCAATTATTTCATTGAGTCTAACTCAGGATATTATGGAAAACGTTTGAAATCGGGGAAAACGCCCCAGCTTACGACAGTGTTTGATACCTGCGCCGGGTATATAAAGTTCGGATTCGCACAAACTTATACCTCTTTACTTACTTTCAATTATTTTCTTTTATAAATGGTACATAAATTTACGACTTAAAATAGTTATTTTTCTAATAGCAATTAAATAAAACTGTATTAGGTTATAATTTATTTTAAAACAATAAAATATATTTAAAATAAACCATTAAATCTTTTAACAATAAAAAATAATGGAAAAAAGGTTGATAGAAAATGTGCTAAGTTCACATTAAAAGAATAAAATCTTAAATAGAAATTGTGGTAAGTCCCAATAGAGCCTATAAGTCTGCAACAGCTTTATTTCGAAATTGGCCGATTATTGGTACTAAAACAAGACGAACTAAGGAAGAAAACTGCATTTACAGATTAGAAAAATATTAACAACAAAAAAAGTTAGACGGTTTTTTGTCCCTCCTGAAAAATAAAAAAAAATGAACTTAGCACGTTTGCGAAATAAGCCAACGATATAGATATGTATGTACAGTATATTTTGCTTAGCTGCACATCCTTCTTTGTACGAAAAACTTGTGCACGTAACCGAAAAAGGCACTTAAGCGAATTTTCTTTACTACTTCAATGAGGAACGTATCCGAATCCCTATGAAACCAAATATTGGCGAAGCACTTACCATGTAGAAATTACTGCAAGCGAAATTTTTACCGAATGTTATCTAATTATCTATATAACTACATAAATTGAGAGCCATTTTCGTTGTTCTGCGAGATCAGCAAAATAAATAAAAGGTTGTAAAATTAGGTAATGGTAGGGCCAGTGCAGGTAAACGTAATACTTTCATTGATAATTGATACTAGTCGCACAATTTTTAAAGCAGGTATCGCCAATGTGCAGGTATGTTGAATGCATCTATCGGAGCAGTTTCCTTATAAATGTTAAAAATAATGCTTTTGATGCGCATTTTGGGGTAGGTATCTTAAATGTGCACTTAAGCATAGAGGCAGCAAAGCAAAATATACTGTACAAAATATCACAACGCACGGCAGTGCGCGAATTACGGATGTTGAGCTTCAGCTCAATAAAAAAAAACCAAAGTTTAAATTTGCTTTTCACTTCTTTATTGGTTCTTCAGAACTGCCCTTACTTACAAGCTAACAGTATTATTTATAACAATATTATGCTTATTCTACATTTATTTTGATTAATATGTATTTCTTACATATTATGCTTATTATGTACTTCTACTTATTTTTGCTTATCCATTGATTTCGCAACTGGATAATTGCGAAATCATTGGTTCGTTTACCTCTTGCAATTGCATATGTTAAATTTTGAAAAGTGCAAGGTAAGCAATATTATACTGTTGCTACCTTGCCCAGTTAATAGCCGGAATGTAAGTTGGCGGTGGAGTTGACGTAACTTCTCCCCCCTTTGTTTGAAAATACTCCTGGATTTTTATTTTAATGTTTTTATATTTCGTATGTGCAAGGGTAACGGCAATAATATGATAGTTATTAAAATTATTATGAATATTACAACAACGAATTGTGAATGACTTACTTTATGATACTTTAGTTCTTTTATTTTCTCTACATTTTGAATATTATTTAATATTATTTCGTCGAAAGTTGGTTCAACTTTGGTGTTGTTGACTTTTATGGAATTTGGTAATACAAAATTATCTTTAAACTGTTTGTTTGTATTTTTGAAAGTTTGATTATTTAGATTTATTGTACAATTATGGAAGGTGAGCAGATAGTTTCTTTTTAGTAGTATATTTCTATTGTCACATTTGCTGGTTAGATTATAGCCTGGTGAGTTTTTTAATAAAACCAAATCATTTTCGATTTCTACTATTTCTGTTAAATTTTTGTTTGTGCTCTTGCATGTATTACTATAAATACATAGTTTACTTTCTTGTAAATTTCTTATATTTAAATTATGCGTATAATCAAATGTCTTATTTTTATAATATATTATTTCTTGTGGTTTGAATTTTAGTGTAACATAGTTATTATTGTTTATTGGAGTGACTAATGATCTTCTTAATGGGATTATTTCTGTTGGGACTTTTATTATAAACAGTAATTTATTTTCCTGGTACTCTGCGGTTGTTAAATGTCTATTTCTAATTCTTTTATTTCCAGTTCTGTAAGGATGTTGGTTGTCGTTATGTTAAGTTTTGAGGACGCTGTATTATTAGTTATATGTTCTATCTTGTTTTCTAAAATTTTAGTTTTTAAGAGAAGGTCTATGTACGAAAGTTTTTTAATTATCTTATCGTTTTCTATATTTAAATCATCAATCTTTTGTATGACATTTCGTCTGTAATTTTCTACTGCTAATTTAAGTTCCTTAAATGTTTTGCTAAAATGGTTATTAATTCTAATATTTTTATTTAAGTTTTCTATTGCGTTATGGTTGTTCTCGTCAATTATTTTTAAATGTGTTTCTATTTCTGTTCTGTCATTGTCGTCCATTGTTCCTGTTAAAAGTTTTAGTCCAGTACCTAGTACATTTAGTAATGCTCTCTTATGTCCGTGAGGTAAAATTGTTAAAAGTTTTGTTCTCACTCTGTTTAATTCATTTTCTAAAAG